TAGGTCTTTCCAAGAAGTAGCACTACCTGGAAATCTGTTATAAACTTAGGCTCCGCTGAGCTGTCTTAATTTGAGAAACTTCATTAACGAGCAATCATAACTCCATAGAGCTTGAGCCCATGACCTCTGTATTACACAATGGGTATATTATTTTTAGACAAATGATGTTTGTCTCTAACTTCGAACTTCCCATACTCATAGCTTATATCATCTAAAACTAAATGTAGATTTCGGATCAGTAGTCATTAGATGTCGTGTCATCGATAATGACAATTTATTGCATAAACTATCAACAAAATTTTATTCATAACACTAGAGACAGTATCACATCAAATATGACTGCGATGAAGACGCACAAACTTATCATGATCGAACTACTTTTTTCTTACATTGGAATCAACTGTTTGAATTATGTTACCCTGCTGAGAAAAAGAAACTATTCTTTTAGACGAAAATTTCTACAACAGTAATTAAGACTAAGATTCATTCTACCGGGCAATAAATTTTAAAAATAAAAATCGTTCGATAATAATTTATTATTTTTAAAAAATCATAAAATTAAAAGATTAAACTTATTTTATTCTTAGTGTATTACTCTTTCAACTACAACTATAAATTTAGTATGACGTAGACCATCCCTTTTTAGTTTTGATTATACTTGCGGCATCAACCATTTTCAGGCATTTACTCGAGGAGTATTGCACACAGAAGAGTATCATTTTCACTAAAAATGCCATTTTAATCATCTGTAACTATCAACATATGTCTCTATGAGCATACTCCCGTGGTTGATGTCATCTTGCTAAATAAATAAAACCAATAAGAGGTAAACATCGATTAGTTAAGGCTAGTATGGTCACATTTGCTAATTTAATAATTATGATGTTAAACTTATAGATGTGAAAATACTGAGTAAAACTATCTCTTTTTATCAAGCGAAGCGGTAGTTTGATAGTTAAAGTACTTGTCTTTTAATTACGAGGTCATACATTAGGAAGTCAGTTCAGATATCCGGTTATAGTATTATGAACTGTCACACAACTAAAGTGTAATTCCAAGCCGAGTACAAGAACTTATATTCTGTCAATGCGTTAAACTGATCAATTTGTTTGCTTTCAATGATTCATTACTAACATATTAATGGCTGTAAAATAAGTGTATCTGAATAAGAATACTCACCGGTTAATTAATGATTATCCTATCGAATGAATTACATACTGTATGAACAACTGACAAAAAATGTCTGTAATGAGTTGATAAAATTCATTTGAATTGTGTATAATGTATACACGCAATACATTTTGTACAATCTAGTTAATTTTTTTCTTGAGAATAGACTAGATATTATCATTTGTCTTTAAATTTTTTTCATTAATTTAAATGATTAAATGCATACCTACTATTTCCAAATAATTTATCGAATTTTCCATAAACAAAAAAAACATTTTCCTACATTTCTAAAATATAATTATCCAAATATTTAAAATGGTTTCAGCTATTAATATGGTTTTAAAAACAATATGAGTGAACATTTTTTTTCACATGGAATATTTACTTGTAAAATTGTCTTACTATCCATTTTTTTCATGTCTGCTTCTAATTCTCGGCGTGATGCCGACTTACGTCTAATGTGTTTCACTGATTCCACGTTCAACCAAGTTATATATTCTCATTTCCGCAGAAACATGAATAGTTTCCCCGGTCCCCCACAATGTATGAATAGTTCACGTGCTTAAATTAATGGCTGATCTAGCTATCAGAAAAAGGCATCGATCTCGTGACTTCTGAAGAAACTCAGCTTTCATCATGAGACGTCATACCTCTTCTAAATGATGACCTTCTAACTGCCAGGACAGAGTTTAGACGGTTAGAACTGTTTTTTATGGTTAACGTTTTTAGGTTGTTGGTTTTCTGTGGAATAAAGTCGCTATGAACGCTTATGCAGTAAGAAAAATAAGATAGTAAGAACAATGTACAAGTCTCTCTCTCTCTCTCTCTCTATATATATATATATATATAATGCTAACCATCTGTTCAAATTGAAGTAGGTAGGATGAAATTATAATCTCTAACCTACTGACTAAAAACCAAGTGTTTTGATGCCATATATAAGAAATGCATTGTGTGTACTCGATAACTGCTTGATCGTGTGCAGCTTGTCTCGATAAAGCGGACACTAGTATGGCACGAGAGTGTTTAGTCAAAGATATGATACAAAAGCATAATCTTTGCCCCTACTGTATGCTGAAGTCTTGTGTCTACATCTATAATTCTTGACAGGATATAAATCGATCTGGGTGACCCCCGGACAAATGACTGAATAGTAGCACTTCCGATTGCGGGCACTGGCTGACTCTAGTGCCAGTGTCTTAAAAAACTTTCTTATAGTTGCACATTGCTAATTACAAGTAACCAGTGTCAAACTCGAACCCATGATCTCTTTCCGATTACCTCGAAAAACGTAACATATTAATCATTGTCTAAATAATATAACTTAAATCTCATACCGATTATACTTCGTTTCGAACGTGAATCTCATTAGTCAACGATTGACAACCTTTACAATTCATGACAATTTTATATTCTCGTATATGGATGCGCACTGCTGATGAGTCCCATACCAGGACGAAACGGCCGTCCAGTGCTTCCAGGTTTCTAATGGTGGTCTAACAATGATTGATTGATGATTTCAAATGTGTAAAAACACAAACCTCCAAAACTCTGCCTGAAAATATCTCATATTACCCTATATGAAATTTAATAAAGAATAAAATGTGAAGTTGAATTTATTATGAAACAACTATTTTAACTATGTAGATTACTTTACTACAACAAACTCAAGCAGTAAATAAATATTTTTTAGCGGTTTAACGAATGAAGATTTTTTAATAAACAATATACTTATAAAATAATTCATCAAATATATTTCATACAGTTTACAAATATTGATCTTCGTTGAAAAAAAAAGCGCGGTTGTTTATACTAGGTAAATAATATACAATGTGATTTAAAAAAACAAACAACCAGAACAATGCAATTTCAATCTTATGTTTGCATAATATTTCACGAGTATTGTTTACATGTAAGTTATGAACTGTTTTTAAAAGTCTGAAGAACAGTATCAAAAGAGGCCTACTAGCTAACATGAATATTTTGTTGTTGTTGTTTTTTGAGACAACTATTTCAACAACCATGATACCAGACATTAATTGTTCAACTGTTTATCTGATAAAATTGATGCTAAACTCTACCATATTGTTAAGTTCATTTTGAATTTTAAAAAAAAGAAACTGACAAATCAAAGATCAATAGTTAAGAATGTAAGTGAATGAAACAAAAAAAATATTTGATGAATTGTTTGTCAATCATGTGAAATTTTTTTTCTGTCAATTCAAACATATCTATTTTAGCATTCTATGCACACATGTTACACTAGTCAATAATTTGTATTGGAAATGGATTATTTACTCTTATTGGTTTGTGGTGAACTATCAAAGTGACTTTTGACCATGTTTTATCAATCAAGTGTACTCTTTATTGCTTTTAAGTTAATCAAAAACACTATATGAGTTTATTTTAAACTGTAGATAATGTTTTGCTAGTGATTTCTTATAATCACGAAATCTTTATGTTGTGCATGTTTTACTAGTTATCTTTAACTCTGTAACAAACAACAGTTTCTCTAACAAGGATGTCAACTTTCAACCTTTCAGCCTTTTTTTTTCTCCCTTGGTTCAGGTAGTTGATTTGTATCACCAGCCCTCGTACAAGTGAACTTATGGACATTTATTTGTTGGTATATGACATTTCGTAAAAGTATACTAATAAATCATTTTAGCTAACCAGAATATCTATTATTTCCCTACTTTACTCAGGACTATTTAGTAATATTAATCACTAGGAGCATCCCAATGGTTAAATGCAATTCTGTCGAAAAAAACATATAAAATTCATTTTAACCCTACTAAGACTAGGGGAGTCGAAGCATTAAATACCAACTCTATGCACTTTGTCCGACTTAAAAATCGTATGTTCAGTCCCATGTGGATGCTTACGGTTCGATGGCGAACCAGCTGGGATCTCTAGCCAAAAACGCCTTCTTTATGATCAGTTACAAATAGATTTGGATTCTGGCATTTTTACTGACAGCATTTTCATTGTGGCTAGTTAGCATTTTTCTCGCCTAGAATGACTTCATTACTCTATTGGTTCACTGAAATTCTAGTATATCATTTTGTTACTCTCTCACCAATGGCACTATAAATATATTTCCTTTTATACTAGAACTGCATGCTATGTGAACTTAATTCTCATTAGTAGAATAAATCTTCTATACAAAGCTTGGCATTCTGTCTCCGACTATTGGACACTAATCAGTCTTACTCTTTATCATTTGTGTCGAACTTGGGGGGAATTATTAATTTTAGTTCAAAAAAACATGATAAATTGATATAGTGCTTCACAAATAAAAAACTTATCCTTATTTCAAATATTTATTTTCAATTTAAATTTTATTTCACATAAACTTCAAGCACAAAACTTGAAATTTATGAGTAGTTTCTTTTTTTTTTCTCATTCAAGTAAATAAAATCATATTGAGAAACAAAATAATCAAAATTTGTAGTGTTAATTAAAACAACGGAATCACACGATTCTGTGTTGTGTGCACAACCATATATATACATATATATATATATATATATATATATATATATATATATATATCAACCAGTTGCCTATTAAACCTAAATGTTCATATTCATTCATTTGTTCACTTAGGTATATGAGTGTGAACTAATAATTGTGCATGTATTAAGCTGTGCGCATTAAAACAAATAAAATTGTGTTATGAATTTGTTTCGTCTATTCAACAATCAATTTATATTGCGTATTACCACCTGTTCAATTTTCATCATATTTTATCAATGTTTGAATTCATTATAATTCCACGTTTGAATGAAAATAATAAAAAAATATCAGTGATGATACCCAATGACGATAAGAAACTAAATATTTTAAAATCCTTAATCAATTAATACAATACATATGGGTTAACATTAAATGATGAGTTGTGCACAGATTACAATACAAGAATATATTCTAGCAAAATCTTCTTATACACCAGTGAATACAATTTCAACAAATCATAATAATTCGAAAATGATTTCTGAAACATTAGAAAATCAAAAAAAAGGAGAGGCGATATCAATGAAACTATCATCGGAATCCAATGAAGATGTTACATTGGATTTTGTTAATACACAGCATAATTCTAGTTTGTTTCAATGTAAATGTATTCAATTGCCATGTAAATGTCATTCGAATAATCTAGAAACTCCATCAATCAACTATGCACCTCCGACGGAATTAGATTCAAGCTTTGATGGCTCAAGAAATAGTAAGTTACTTTATATATAATGTCGACATAATAATTATTTGGATGGTAGTTTCTTTTACTAATTGAATAATCACCATGTTTCACTATGCGTATTGATTTTTTAAATAATAATTCTGATAACGAATTAAACTTCTCATATTGAAGGTAGGACTCGTAATATTTACTAAGAATAATGAACACATTGAGATAGGCAGCGGTAATAGATAAGAGTTGATATCTGCCCTGATTTATGATGCAAATAGGCGTTAGAAATCCGACCTTTGGTGAAATCATAATGTTGGGGATGTCAGATCCCCAGAACTCGCTGGATAAATGTCTTCATTTTGGATTTTATTCATGGGCTGACCAGTTGACCTTGAGATCACATTTCCCACCAGGAAAAGCCTTGGCTCCTATTGGTCACTGTGTTATTTTAGTATGCTGTTTTGTGACTCTCCCAAGGACGTCTCTATGGAGTATAAATAAACGCAATTTGTGTGCTGGCTAGGTGTTTGTAGAATACGCTTTCTACTCTATATCAAGACCTCTCGTTGCTACTTTTGGGTCAACGGATCAGAGTAACCTACCTGGGCATTGGTTCATTGTCTCGTTCTCGTTTATCGACTAAGGTGAACCCGTAATAGTTTTAAGCATACCTAGTGACGAGTGTAACACATATCAAAAAGATAGTGCCACCATTCATTCGTAATTCAGCCAATCAAAACGGTGGGTTACTCTTCATCCGCGAAAGACTTGAATAATGAATCATTTCAAGCCCCCAACTCTTAGCTAGGTTAAGATGTAAGCGAAAAATAAGGGAATCAGACGGTTCATTTGAAGTGACTGTCGATACCAGTGAGTAGCTTGGTTCAGTTTTGGCACTTAAGTTAACTAGGATCTTATAAAGAGTCTGGGAACTAGGCATAATTTCATCTGAGTGATCTCGATTGTCGTTCAATCCAGTTTATGAGAAAAAACAAAACTCTCATTGTAAAAATCACGCAGGAATCACTCCTAACGACATAATTTTGCTTCAGGATTAGTCCGTTTTAATGCCTGAATTAATGATCAAAACGGAAGTGGTTGAGCGTATCGAGAACTTCACTTGTCTCAGAGATTATGTCGGCCCTGATTAGTTTTTGACGGAAACTAAGAAGGGATTTAAGAAGCTCACTTGGCTTTGTCAACATGCATCACCTGTGTCGTAGGCAAGAAGTCTGTTTTTAAACCACAGTGCGAGTGTATAACACAACACCTCGTCCTGTTCTACTTTATGGAGGTTATTCATAGGTCACCAGTATTGGATCACAGATGCCTTTGAGGGGCTGTGAAATTATCAATGTTGAGGTCAAACAAGCTACTAGATGAAGATAGGTAAGAAAAATAAGTAAAGAAGACAGTGGATGAAGTTGCGCAAGCTCATGGATTGATTGAAGTTAGATACTAACACCGTTGGATGCTGGTTCAATATTCCAGAGGTCAAAAGTTCGTGCTCGAAAGCGAAGGTCCTGAATCTGATTCCCGCCATCGGTCGTCGTGTATCCGCACTGTTAATGAGTCACTCACTAGGACGAAACGGCCGTCCAGTGAATCCAGGTTTCTAATGGTGGTTTAACGATGATCAATTCATGATTTCAATGAAACTCAACTATCTTCACAACCCTTTAATCGGTATAAGAAATCGATTGATGAAAAAGTGAGTCTTCATTAGTTAAGGTAATTGGGCAATGTATTACATATCATCGACCACTGACTACCTCGACGTACGATATTGCTTCGTGTGATAGTATTCTGGAAGAAATCTAGGAAATTTCAAACAAAGGCGTGGCTTGGGTGCATGTAGTATTTGACATTTGGACATATATTTGTGAGATGATGTAGATTACGTGGTTAGGGTCGACATGATAACCGTAATAATCGATTGCAAACTTTGAATAACATCGTCTAAAATCGTTTTCATTCGTTGTCTTCCTATAGAAAACCTAGTCTCAAAATATAATTGCACCTGTTTTTTCTCTACCTAGTAGTTTGTACTGCTACAAATACTGTTACTACTCTTGCTACTCTGAGGTGTATAATAAAGTAACTTTATTTCGCCTTGCACATTTTTTAAGACCACATGCATCAGGTCATAAACTGCATGTGACAGACCATTCATTACAGGACAAGTAGCTCATTGCTAACGTTTATGATTGTGATACTGAATTTGATGTAAAACATCAGGTTCCGCTTCACTGTAGGTATATCTTGCCGATAACTAATAGCAAGTAAGAAACATAGATTTAAGACTTCCTATGAATTGTCTTCAACTACAAAAAACCAAGCGTAGTATACGGCAATATTGAGTCACTCGAACTACTGACCACATTGCTTTTTGACCGACAGCATTCAATCCGTACCAAGAAATTGCTACATTTCTGATTTTAGTCAATACGCAATACTGGACGGCTTTCATCCATCAGTATGGGTTAAAAGAGAGTTATTATTGATAAGTGTTTGTAGGATTGACATAAACGGTAGACTTGTACTTATAAATTTTCCCATAACAGTTTACTCAAGGTTATAGGTATGCTTTACTAACAAATGACAACCAACATGAGATCCAAACTGAAAGCTTGCTGTCTATTGCCTAGAAAAAGTCAAACCCGTAAAGTCAGTCATTATATTCTGATAAACGAGATAATATTTCCTTTACTATATATATTACTTCGATGTTGGTATTTTTCAGTCCAACAAAATAAAAAAACTACTTCATGAAGTACCGGATATAGTGATTGAATATATTTATGAATGAAAGTTACCAACTAATTTATATATATATATATATATATATATATATATATATATATATATATATCCATGGTAATATGTAGCGAACTTTATAATGTTTCGATTATTGTAGTATGTATTAACCAAAGTATACTGACAGAATCATTGACGAACGAAAGAATTATATCGCTTAAAGAATGGAGAAATATCCTACCATATATATATATATATATATATATATATACTTATATTAATGTAATTTTGCTTAAGCAGGATAAATTAACTACCAAAACTTTACAATATTTCCTTGCATAACGTCATTGATATCAGCTCCGTAAATCAGTAGAGTTTAGAACACTCACTTTAAGTATGAAATTATTTTCTCTACGTCTGTTTGAGATGGAAACAAACAGTGGGAAACAATGGAAAACTCGGGATATTTTTGTAGTAGTTCAAGATATCATTAGTTCACATTGTAATGATGAAGGGAATTCGACGAAACGAATATAAAAAATGAGTGACTTAATAGTACTGTTTCCATACCCACAAAAGCCGCACGTTTGAACGGGTGTTTCACCAACCTATATAGTGCTGGGAATCTGAAACTGGAACTCCGCCTGTAGACCCCTTAGGGCTACTCCCGGTCCCAAGCTCGGGTAAAGGAGGAGGGGTTGAGCATGGGGTTGGCGCCCCCATCCAGAAGAAATAATTCAAACCATTTTAACTCTGCCCTGGGAGTTGGCAGAAGAATTATGAGTTCCCTCGGAAGTCACGGGGCCGATGTCTCTTCTGACAACCAGAGCAACCATTCTTTTAGGTACTTGGAACGTTCGAACATTGTGTGGGACTGGTAGGCTATTTCAAATTGCGGCAGAAATGAAAAGATACAACCTCGAGGTGCTCAGCATCAGTAAAACGCATTGCATACAGGTAGGACAACTGAGACTAGCTTCAGGGGAACTGCTGTTATACTCTGGTCGTGAGGAGGAAAATGCTTCACATACACAAGCAGTTGCACTGATGCTGACCAAACATGCACAAAAGACACTGATAGGATGGAAATCTCATGGACCTAGGATCATTAAAGCATCCTTCAAAACGAAGAAAAAGGACATAACAATGAACGTCATCCAATGTTATGCACCTACCAATGACTACAATGAAAACGATAAAGATCAATTCTACGAAAGGCTGCAGTCAATCGTCGATAGATGCTCATCAAAGGATTTGGCTATTCTAATGGGAGACCTAAATCGCAAGGTTGGAATGGACAACACTGGATATGAAGACATCATGGGACGACATGGACTGGGAGAAAGGAACGAAAACGGTGAGAGATTCGCAAACCTATGTGCCTTCAACAAACTGGTCATCGGCGGCACAATATTCCTACACAAGCGCATACATGGATTTCGCCGGATCACACTACTCAGAACCAAATCGACCATATTTCTATCAACAAAACGTTCATAAGGACCATGGAGGATGTGAGAACCAAGAAGCAGCTGACATAGACTCAGATCACCGCTTGCTGGTCGCTAAAATAAAAATGAAACTCAAGAAATATAGGATAACGGGGCAGACAACATCACAGAAGTTTAATACGGCCTTTCTTCGGGATACCGTAAAACTGAACGAATCCAAGATAACCCTCACCAATAGGTTCCAGGCCTTGCACGATATACTCGATGGAGAGGAAGCAACATTGGAGAACAATTGGAAAGAGATTAAGGAGGCAATCACTTCAACATGTCATGAAGTTCTGGGTCACAAGAAGTACCATCACAAGGAATGGATCTCTGTTGATACTCTTGTAAAAATTGAAGAAAGAAGGAACAAGAGAGCAGTAATCAATGTCAGCCGAACAAGAGCAGAGAAAGTTAAGGCACAAGCTGAATACACGGAAGCAAACAGGGAAGTGAAGAAGAGCATCAGAGCTGACAAACGAAAATATGTGGAAGATCTAGCAATGACGGCGGAAAAGGCTGCAAGAGACGGAAACTTGAGACAATTGTACGAAACCATAAAGAAACTATTGTAAACCAGAACGACCAGTAAAAAGCAAGGAAGGGAAAGTAATCAGCAACACTGAAGAACAGCGAAATAGGTGGGTAGAGCACTTTAAGGAACTATTGAATCGACCAGCTCCACTGAACACACCCAATATCGAACCAGCATCTATGGACCTCCCAATTAATATTGGCGCACCTACAATTGAGGAGATCAGTATGGACATCAGACGAACCAAGAGCGGCAAAACAGCGGGACCAGACAACATTCCAGCAGAGGCAATGAAAGCACATATAGAAGCAACTGCGAAAATATTTCATATTCTCTTCAAGAAGATTTGGGATGAGGAACAAGTACCATCAGTTCTACTGTATGGAGCGGAAACTTGGAGAACTACGAAAGGCATCATCCAGAAGATACAAGTGTTTATGAATAGTTGTCTACGCAAAATACTTCGGATTCGTCGGCCAGACACGATCAGCATCAACGTACTGTGGGAGAGAACAAACGAGATTCCAGTGGTAGAGGAAATCATGAAGAAATGGTGGAAGTGGATAGGCCACATACTAAGAAAAGCACCTAACTGCGTCACAAGACAAGCCCTCACTTGGAACCCTCAAGCCAAAAGGAAAAGAGGGAGGCCAAGGAACATATTACGCCGAAAAATAGGGAAAGATGTGAGAAGAATGAACAAAAATTGGACAGAACTGGAAAGGGAAGCGCAGGACAGAGTTGGTTGGAGAAAACTGGTGGGCGGCCTATGCTCGATTGGTGGTAACAGGCGTAAGTTATTTAGTAAGTAATCTGAAACTGGAACTAAACAACTGTCTTATTCCCACTATTTTTCAACGGTTCCCTAGCTGAAGTTGCTTTTCAATTTAAACTGCCTTCCAGTTACGCTACGTTTTATAGGACGTGTAAGTAGAAGATCATAATGATAAAGACAGTTTTCCAGCCCATAAATCTATTCTTACTATAACATACTTGAGAGATGATAAAGACGGGAAGAAAACTTTACTTTCCTTCATACAAATCACGTGAATAAAGTGCAAACACTTAAAGGGATCCGTATGCATTCATGTATCTCTCTATCCTTATATATATATATCACATAATTTATATATATAGAGAACATTGTTAACTTGTATGAACACGAAAGAGAAGTGAACCAAAGATTGTAAATTAATAGCCTCACCTAAAATCAGAATCCAAAATGAATTTCACCGCTCTGAATGATAATAACCTGTATTAATACATAAAAGTAGACTAATTAATTAACAAAAAGTAATTGGTAATATCACCAACAAATAACAAGGGTGAACTTATGGTAAACTGTTGAACGACCTTGAGATGCCAAACATTTGGCCTAGTCAACAGATGAGAAAGATCAATAAATGACTTTTAATGCAATGAATTTAATATTAGAATGGTTTTAATTATCTTGCAATATAATTAATATTGTTTTGTGATGGAATTTCCAATCATAATATCAAATTCTATTCTTAATACTGATTCTTAATCTTATTTCGATATTTACATGATGACTTTTCTGATTCCTCATTGGTCCAGTAATATGCGTTATAGCTTAGTCAAAAAAAAGATTTTTTCACCTAATAGATTAGAAAAAATCTTAAGTGTTTTTCATACATAAGTTTTGCTAATATCAACTGGTAGAACTATGATAAATGGGAAAGAATTGAACGACTAATTTGTTTCACATTAATGCTGTTCATCATATATCCTAACCCAAACCTATAATAAGCAATGCATTATCATTATGCTGACTATATCTAACCATCACCCACAACGACTCAAGATGTTGGCTAATGTAGGATTTATGTTCAAAGGAAAATAAGAGAGACCAAATCAAAACATGATATCAATTCATGAAATCAATTATTGTTGACATGATCCATGTTAATAGATGTAGACTACTTGATTGCAATCTGCATGATAACCGTGATCAGTGATTTTAAACTTTGAATAGCATCATAACTCAGAATTAATGATAAGCGTGCAGATGTATTCATTCTTTATCTTTCTCTCGATCTGGAATTCCATTATTCCTTCATATATACGTTCCAAGTGTATTTTCAAACCATATTCACAAGGTCTAATCTTTCATTTTATCATAGTACCGTATGATTTTGATCGCATTCTTTCATCTCGTTCTGTTAATCTAATGAAGGCAACTTGGACCAACTCACGCCTTTGCCAGGTCGCATGTGGATGATATCTATTTGTTAACTTATTTTCGGGCAAAGTTTTGGAGGTTTTGTGTTTTAACACATTTCAAATCATCAGTCAATCATTGTTAGATCACCATTAGAAACCTAGAAGCACTGGACGGCCGTCAAGTCCTGGTATGGAACTCATCAGCAGTGCACATCCACGACTCCTGCACCTCGCAGGATTCGAACCCTGGACCTTCGGTATTGTGCGCGAAAGCCTAACCATCGGACCACTTGGCCGGAATCCAATGGTGTTAATGTCTAACTCTGATTGATCTACGGATTACTTAGCCCATTTGATAAATAATCAATAAATATTAAGGCCACAATCCAGAAGTATATTTGTGTGTGAGAGAAAATAAAGCACTTTAGTTCATGATAAATAAACTGACCGTCTACTAAATACTGTTCATAAACAAAGAAAAAAAAACTGAATTCATTAAACAGCATTCGAAATATTATAAATTCACTTTTGATTCATCTGTGTATAATTTACAATGCAACATTAAAAAAGGTGAGTTGTGATCAATAATTCTTTTGTTGAACTGGCCAATAATAACTAGCATCGTTGTACAACTGAACGTGTAGGTGTTTCTGTTTTTTTTCTTAATAATGAGATTTGGATAGAAAACTATTGCGCATAATCAGATGTCTCACCTATTATGGTAATATCTATGCCACCAGTGTTTCATTTCATTTTTCTTATATGATTGCTTCATTACACATCCAAAAGTAACAATAACAATGTATTCGTTAATTTATATATTCATTGTGTTGTTTTCTTCTCTCTACATTTTATCATATGAACAATTGCGCATTCAATACAATAGAAGATCATTTCACTTCAATCACTTTAGCGGATTATTTTGATGCATTAAACAAACAATCGAATTCATTGAACGGAACAACACGCAACCTATTACCACGTCAAGTTATTAGTCATTATCAAATGCCCAACAGTCAATCACATTTATCTGAATCTTCTCTGTTTACATTATCAAAACAATCATTTGATGATAGCCACAATAATGAATTGATCAATGAACAAATCAATAATCATAGCGATACTAACAATCAAAATATCGCAACTTATAATGGTAATATCAATAATAATCATGGCAATGAACCATCATTTCCTGTGGATTATTTTAATTATTTGAAGAAACGACGTGCATTTCTCACTGATCGATTGTTAAGTCGATATACTGAATTAATCAAACTATTAAATGAAGAATTAGTAAGTAAAATTATTATTTTTTTTCGATAATTATTGTAGTAATTAATTCGTTGATCTCAAAATGCTCATCAATTTAAACGGAATTATGTGCCTGGAATTCTTACCTCTAGGACAAAATGGTTACAAAAATTATTTTCGAAACATTCACTTTAAAGATAAAGTTTTCAGTTGACGTATTCGTCTTTTTTTACATCGTATTTTACTGTTCGACTTATCTTCTCCACGTTAAAAAGGTATTAATCAATTGAAAACTCTGGGAATATAAAGTAAAGATAGATTGTATGAAATAGGATATCTCAACAGACATATACATATACATGAATCTAGGTGATAAGCTACTGGTATTCTTCAATTATCTAAAGAAAAATGCTAATGATCATTCATATAACGGTGGAGTTATATATGATAGTGTACAGATATGCAATCAATCGACAGTTTAATCAAAGTTTCTAAAGTGATAAGCAAATTCAGGCTCAAAGTCAACTGCAACGAACTAGATGAATTGCCTCGTTATCCTTTGAATTTCAAGATTAGTTTATATTCTTGATTTTATGCATTCATTTTCCATCTTGAACCATGTTCTCTACTTTTAATCTTCTTTACTATCAAAAGTTTTACTTTATTCATGACTCTTGAATAACTTTCGTAAGGTTTTGCTCTTTAGACCATTAAAACAGAATAAAAATGTCAACAGAGCTAAGGCATAGAGTTAAATAAACATCGAAACTGATGAAAATAGTATAAGCCACTCTGGTCCGAATCGATATGCAAATGCAGTACGATATAAAGTTAATTTCCTGATTATAATATAATATTTTTGGGCAGAGTTTTGGAGGTTTGTGTTTTTACACATTTGAAATCATCAATCAATCATTGTGTAAAAACACAAACCTCCAAAACTCTGCCCGAAAATATCGTAACAGTGCTCACTATTGACTAGCTTCGTGAGGAAATTCTTGGAGTTCTAGTTGATAAGACGTGACCAATGGAGTTCGACCCTATCGGGTGTAGGCAGTAACTACCAAAGACAAATGGGTGAGGTTTCTAATGGTGGTCTAACAATGATTGATCGATGATTTCAAATGTGTATAATATAATACGCATATATTTACGTTCAAGATGTATATTTCAAAATCTTCATTTACCTCGTTCATAATGACTAGAATTTATTTGAGAATTGTGATACTTCCTAGATGGTCAACTAAGTAGTTTTCGCAAGGAATCAACACTTAGCATTTGATCCTGACTTATTATTTACCGGGGAGTATGGAGACTTTAGAAGATGATGGTTCATGCTAATCAATAACCAAATTGAGTTCATACGCCATTCGTTATCTCAGATTGTAGAGCCAGCGGGCTACAACCATTTTTTTTTAATTAGGGTTATTCCAAACCAGTAGATAAACCCACCCATTACTATTCACAGCACATACACTTCTTGTTTGTTAAAAAACCATGTCTATGTCGTCAGTGAGAATTTCGTTGGAGAATGCAGTGGATGCATGTCCACATAGAAGTATTTCAAGAAGAAAAGTCGATTCTATCAGCGATCAACTATGTCAAGATATTTAGGAAAGATTTTCCAGTGATTACACTCTAGTTTATTTGAAGTTCATTTCTCTTATTTTGTTTAACTTGTTTCACTGGAGAAAATCTTCTTTCAAATGACTTTCGGTTTTGATTAAAGTATCTCTCACACTAAAAAAACATCATGATACATACATGCGTAAAAAAAAACTAATTTACAAGTGTAAATAGCAGTGATTAGTAGTGATAATTAATTATTTTATCATTCGTATCAATAATAATAACTATTCCACTAATTAATACGATCAAAGCCATTTCAGATCAATAAATGCATTTTTCAGAAGTCTAGACTAGCACATTTAGACATCGTGTAGTCTTTTATCATACATTGAAGGTATTCGTTATTACTCGATGACTATAATTACAGTACCTGTCTGTTATAAGCTGGCCAGCGTTAGACAACTATCTTGTTTTCGTTTTGCATACCTAAATAGAACTCATTCAATTCATGGCCTTACACTGAACTGAATCCGAAATCATTTCATCATTTTACTATACCACTTAGAAAAAAGATAGTTGAATTACTATTCATAATGAACCTAAAATAAAATTACACTCAGTCACATAGATTGATATTTTGTAATCATAGTTCGTTAATTGTCGGTTTTTTTTCAATATCATTCATTGTATTATGTGTGTATGTATACATAATTATTATTACTATTTACAAGTGAAATGAAAGATGACCTTTGAAAGTTAAATTATCTATCTGACTAGTAAATTGTAAAAATATCATGTGTTATTCGATCGATTTGTTGATTACAATCATAACAAATGAAAATCATAGTATGCTGACAACACTGTCTGATTTAGATGATACTTTAGTGAAGATTTGTTAACCAACCTTAATTTCAAAGTTATAAAGATAGAAAGGATAAATGGAACGTTTACAACTGCGTTATATATTGAACGATAAATGTAGTATAGATTTATAGCATGCTACAAATAAATGTATGGGTATCCTCATTTCCAGGTATGAACCGGTGACAACTGTCAAAAATATAATTTTCTTATCTGTTGTATGTACATTGATTTGAGAAGCAATTTTTACAATCAATCATTGTTAGCCCACCATTAGAAACCTGGAAATACTGGACGGCCGTCAAGTCCTGGTATGGGACTCATCAGCAGTGCGAATCCAAGACTCCTGAACTTCGCAGGACTCGAACCCTGGACCTTCGGTATTGTGCGCAAATGCCTAGCCATCGGACCACTGGGTCGGCATCCAACGGTGTTAATGTCTAACTCTGATTGATCTATGGATTTTTCGCACTGCTCATGAGTCCCATGCCAGGACGAAACGGCCGTCCAGTGCTTCCAGGTTTTTAATGGTGGTCTAAAAATGATTGATTGATGATTTCAAATGTGTAAAAACACAAACCTCCAAAAACTCTGCCCGAAAATATAGTATTTATATCCCAAAATCCAGGATGAAAAAAGTGTACGTAATACTTTGTTGAATGTTATGTTGCACCATTTCTTTGGGACCTGAATGATCAGTCCTGAATTAAAACATTCCCCTTCTTTTTGAGCTATATTCACCAGCGTTCAGGTCTCCTCATTACCATCGATACTGCTACTATTTTTAATTTTTAGCTATATAGTTTGTTAATTTCAAATCATTAAGGGGATATCTTTCTGCGTCGTATTTCATCAATACGATAGTATCACCTTCCAAGTGAGTTCAGGAGATGAAGTTCATATTGCAACAACAATTTTTATATACTTCATCAAGTTATCAATACCAAATCTGTATAAAACGCTAACGTAATAATTTTATGGTATAATACCATCGAAGTAATGATGGCTCAATCAAATCATTATTTGTTAGTTTCTTTTCGTCTCCATGAATGTGGCTCAAGAAGCCAGTAAACCCATTAAAGTATAACGTTGTTTCGTAGTAGTTGCTCCTCGCTTAAAATAATCTTCAGATTTTAAAAGTCTAACGATACCATCTTCACTCCAAATTGTGTCGTATATGGGAGTCCTATGAGGAAACAACATAAAATTAGATTTTCTCTACCTTGATTATTAAATATTTTACCGTTAGGTTAACTTTAAATCAAATCTATACAAGAATCAGGCAACTACTCATTCCATTAGAGATAACTAACAAAAAAGAGTTGGGAAATTTCGATAGACTCTGTGATTAACCTTTAAGATAAATTTTATATCAGTGTCTGTATAAAAAAGAATCTGCAATGTTTGAGATATTTAAGAAACCACTTGGTATCAGCAAATGGAACTTATAACCCGCAACACAATAACAGGACAAGCTGATTTAGCCCAGCTGACTTGAGGTCAGTCAGTCAGTTACAACGTAGAACTTCGTACGTACATACATAAGTTCAGGTTGCCACACTACTTTAGCGCAGAGCCGCAATTGTCAAATCAAATTCCATAGTAGTAGAGATAGTAGAAGTATTAGCAGTAATTGGAGAGATAAGGGTTCGATGGTATTATGCATGAGGTAGAATCTAGTTAAATAAACTAGAGGAATAAGTTTAGAGTCAAAAATAAGATTATATAATCCAAAATCAGCTCAGAACGAACGAACAATAATCACTTCACTTATGCGTAGTATATACAATAAAAAAACGTCTTCGAAAGAGTCACAAGAAAGTATACTGGAAGAGAAAACGAACCAGTGACATTTAAGATTCTTTAAGGTAGGAAACACAAACTAAAGGTGATATTGCGTGCGTTTAGCACAAACCTAAGGAAATCAAATTTCCACAAATGAATTAAAAAATTAAGTTTACCAAGGGATTTTCGGTGGTCGAAAGTCTCTATCACGATCAAAATGTTTAGCTATGGTTGTGTGCTTCAATTTATCACTTTTAAAAACATGTTAACTTTGAAATCATCAGTCTTAACAACAGTAATTTATATTTTACCGAAATATATGTTGTATCGAGGTTTGCATTTCATGGAAACATTTTATCATGGTATCGATCTCCGAAGTGTCGCCAGTTCACTAGTGATCAGGAATGTCACGAATTTCACGATTATCGATATTTCATCAAGTGATATCAATTTACGACTAAAATTGAATCAAACAGATCTTTACAAATCACCTAACTAGAAAAATAACATTATTGTTCAAATATTAGAATACATTGACAAGTATTGAAGTAAATAAAAAGGCAAGAACAATAAACGATTTTGTTTGTTTGTCTTAAATTTTCGTTAGTCCATTTTATTGTCCACTTTAATTGTTATGTTACTACGACTTTTCACTTTATCCTTTAAGAATTCGCTTTTACATTCGCTCCTGTACATCCTATTCCTATCTTTTGTTTCATTTTAATAAAACATAATCCATTGCCTCACTTTAATTTTTCCTTATCTTAATGTAACTGTTAGCTTTATTGTAGTTATTTTCATTTCGAAACAATAAACGCCACATTATC